TACACAAATGAATATATATTTGAATAAGTTGCAAATTTATAAATTAAAAAAAAAATTATAAATTATGATTGATGATCACTATTCAACGAACTATTAATAATAAAATTAATAATTAGGATACGTTTGATAAGTATAGCTTATTAACCAGAGCGTGGAGTGATTGGAAAAAAGTAATATTTTACACATCGATACATCGATTTTTTTAAAACGAACAATATTTTTCCATATATATTTTAATTAATACGTTTCCTTACCTACTACCGTCATGTCTGCATGGTCAGACACGGTCTGAAAGGCTGGAGCCTCGGCAGACACCTCGCATCGATACCTTCCTGAGCTAGTAAGATTCACATTGTTCAAAACCACCGATCTTTCCGTGGAATTATGCGTCTGTAATTAAGGAGGAGATGATCGATCTTTCAATGATTAAATCAATGATTAATACCCACGTTCACATCAACACCAGGAACGCGAAAGGTTTGAACCATTGGCACATCCCTCGGCACGTAACGATAAAATTCGTGGCCGTCTTTATACCATTTCACAGAGTACAATAGTTCTTTATCCAAATTGAAGTTGCACTGCATACGGACCGTCTCGTTCAGAACAACGTGTTGCGGTATTTGCAGGGCTGTCATTCGAAGGGCCACAATACCTGAAAAGATTATCACGAAATTTTTACGAATTATTTTTCAATCAAGTTTTAGAATTAATATTGGAATGATGGAAAGAGAATCGAGTTTAAGAATTTAAGACCACAACTTTATTGTCCCATTATTTGATTTGAAGTTGTCCCTAGTCTCAAGTAACTTGACCTCGAACGGATATCCATTGGAAAATTTACAATCTATAACGGCGTAATGAGTAAAAGATGGAAATATAACGATCTGAAAAATATCTACGCGAAACTTTGATAATTTCTACGATATGATCGAACATTTCGAAGGAAAAATTCTACTTGAAGATATCGATATAAGAATGAGACCAGAGATAATATTGCATTACTTAGAAACTTGTATTCCTATCTATTGAAAGGATAGTCTTCAATTTCGCTTGAAAATTGACAATATTGATTTCGAGTGAAATGAATTTGGTAAACTTGTTCGAAACCATATTTCAAATTGAATGAATAACAGTCAAGTTGACGAGAGCGAAGAAATTTTATATTGTATTGAATAATAATTCGAAAGATATTAATCTTCAACGCGAAACTGCGATCGAATATACGAAACAAAATTCCTATTGAATTATTATGATTTGGATAAAATTATCCATAATTATATATTGTAATCGGATCATTGTAATCCTCTTATACAGTTAATTTCTTAAAATTATCGATGATCGATACGTATCCATGTTGTACAATTAAAAAAAAATGTTCTTATTTTGATTAAAAAGAAAAAATAGAAAAATTCCGATGTAAGACTCGAGGTATTATAGAATTTTTAAAAAAAATGAACGAAGCGTAATTAACCGAGTTATTTAAAGTTTAAATAATAAAATGAATGTATCGAGAGGGATATGAAATTTATTTTGATGATTCAGCTAAGAGAGAAGATCTCTTCTTCCTTCTCTCTCATTCCGGGACGGTAGTTAAACTTTCTCTCTTCGTCTCCTTTCCCTTCGCGGACTGAGAGACTATTAGGAATGATACGGAGAATAATTAAATTACATCTTGTCAATGGCGGAATCATCGAATTTCCGTTTATTCAACGTTGGAAAATTAACGATTTTATAGTCGGATACTCGATAAATCATGTTTTCCGCATTCTATCTTTATATCGATTATATCGATTATATCGACAGAAGGGAATTATTAAGCGTTAGAACGCGTTATCGCGAATGGAAGTTTCCTCTCATTTTCTATTATTCGTATTTCCTCATTCAACAGTTACTCGTAATGCTTATCAAACCGCTAAACACCACTCGAATCAATGGTTGCAGTTTTTCCAGTAGTTTTAATTAATTTCTTCGATCCAATCTATTTTTCCCCCTCTCTCTTTTTCATTGGTAAAACCCGTTTTTCAGCGATCTCATATGTTCATTCATTCGATTATCCCGGTCGGTAATTTTAAAAGAGAAAAAGTGTTCTCGGTCGATAAGGAAATTGACCGAGTTTTGCTAGAGATCTATTGTAGGTCAGACCGGTATAAATTGTAGTATTTTCGGTCGGGTTCCTGTCAGATATGGCTACATTTATTGGAAATGCATCCTTCTATTTGATATGGAATAGGATGGAAGAAATCTTGGTCGATGAACATCAATAATTCTATGTGGTTAAAATAGAATGATGTTCGAAATAGAGGGTGAAAATTATTATATTTGAACTCGAATTGCTTATTCAACTTGTCGTATTCATTTCAAGATTTAGATTTTAATTATTCATTTCAAGAATTATAAAAAATTATGATTTCATTCATTAAGCAATACCTAATCAATCGAGTTACAAAATTTAAAATGATAAAATAGAATAAATTAAAAAATTTGTTTTAAATTTTTATAGAAATTTAAAGGCAGATTTCTCTTTGTTACATGTATAAATAAAAAAGCTTTATATTATCATTTTAAAAATAAATGAAAATCTGATTTTTAAATTAAAAAAAAAAAATCAAAATCCAAAATTTTAAGTTTGAAATCTCTAAACTTGAAACTCTTCAGAATATTTCTTTTTTCCAATGAAAATCATCAAAAATTAAAATTTAAAAAAAAAATTTTCTAAAATTCTTCGAACTCAAGTTCAAAACAATTCGACCAACAATTCGACAATTCGAAACTTGTTAAATCTTTCTCTAATATTTATTATATTATATTATATTTCTTTATAAATATTTCTAATATATTTCTATTCCTATATATTCTTATAATAATTCCACTATTCAAATTTTTTTTTCGGAAAAAAACTTTGCATTTACGAATAAAAGATACAGATAAAAAAGCAAGATAATTAAAAAAAAAAATGAAAAAAAATTAGTTGACGAATCCCAATATATAATAACCGAGTCCTCTGGCATTTAATGGCAACCGTTAATGAAACATTTACAATCAGGGGGATTGTATCTTTCCATTGGAGAGGGATGGACGCCTAGCGTCACGACGCTGCTGGTCGCACGTGCTCTTGACGGACACGGACACGG